ATTTGAATTAATATTATGAATGATTATTTAAGTAGTTGTTTTGATGAATTAAACAGCTATTTAATAAATGCAGAAATTATTGGATGTTTTTCAATCATTTATTATAATGACATTTCTTTCAATTGGATGTTTAAATCATTGATTAGATCCTCTATGCACTGGATTAAGATTTATAGCTAGTAAAGTTCCAAACTATTCCAAAAGCTAGCAATTCTTTAAAAACCTACAAAATAAAATTATCCATTAAAAAACCAAACAAGTGATCACAATTTGCATTAAAATCTTAATCTTCATTTACTGTTGGCCAAAAAATCTCAGCGATGAAAGTAAAAACATTGTAATTAACTTAATTTCTAAGAGCAAAATTTTTCCAGCTCAAATTTTCACTTCCAAAAACACTAAAATGTAATTCGCAAATCTCGAAAGTAATCGGAATTAACATAAAAAAGAAAAAGTCAGTAAATACAACAACCGTCAAGGCTGAAAATAAGCTTATCTTAAAATAATTCAAATAAATTCTCATTAAAAGAAATTTAGTTCCATTTTTTGGAGTCACAAACCGTAAGAAACAATCAAAAGTAAGTGACAGCATTTGCTAGCTGTTCATTTATTTTACTGCCAATTTCGTTCATCTTTTTACGTCGAATTTTGCTTTCTGTAGCACAAAAATGCTTCGTGCTGCTTTTGTCGTCCGTTAAATGATCGACTTAATTATATTTAAGAGAAATTTCTGCATATGACTTAAGTTTTAATGATCTCCTGAGATAATCTTCAATTTTCTTTAATTATTTTTTTAAATTAAAATTAAAATCCTATTAAGTTTTAATCATAAAGTTAAATTTGTCAAATATTTCTAAAGAAATTACCAATAAATTTAAAATAGCTTTTTATAAAATTAATAATTGAGATATCACCTTAAATGTTGTCGAAATATGTGCATTATACAAGATTCAAACATGCAAAGAAGAATGAAAACAAGAGGCTGGCACAAAGAAACAAAATATAAAATAAATTGTGGCATTAGGTCACACATAAACCTTTAGTATTTAAATATATTTCAACTAGTCACAATAATAAAAGTCGCTTATCATCAATAATATTTTGGAATAAAAAGAGAAAATATTCAATCATAAAATCAAATACTATTAAAAATGTACGAAGATCCATTCATATTTAAATTAATGAAGGATTCACCCACGACTTTTCACCTCTATTTTATTTCGATGACTTGATGCATTTTTGTTTAATTAAATGAAATTGTAGTGAATCTTGATGACCATGATTGCTAATAGAATCAAATAATTATATCTTGTCATCATAACGTGTTGATGATGAAGATTTTCACACTTTTAATATTTAAAAATGAACTTAATTTATAAGCATGAGATCCGTAACATCAACTTTACTAAAGGTACAAATAAATAATTTTCTACATTCTCTGTAAGAGACGATTGCATTTATGCCAGCTACTCGTGTTTATTTTACTATCATCATTAAGCAGCACGTTTATTTTTATACATCGTATGCACTATATTGGATATCATATGCAGAATATAATCAACTTCATTAAAAGTTCTTTTTTACTTACTTATTTTATTTTTTAAATCAATTGATGCTATGATACCAAAAGTGTTGTGCATAATGAGCATAAATATGAGTGTGAGAGGAAAAAGAAATAACAGAAAAACGAGTTTCATGTTAGAATATTAAGTACGTATCTATCTGTGAAGTAAAACATGAGTGTTATGCTGGCTCCTGTTGTATGTTTATGTGCGATAATCGTCACATAAATTAAATTATAGACAGGCAAAATGAAGGTTTTGGAAAAGCTAGTGTTAACTAAATTGGGGTACATTGTTGACTTTAATATTATAATGAATGTCTTGATCGTAGCCATAAGTTATTTAAAGTTGTTAAGGTAGGTCATCCTCTATCGCACTGTGTTTGGTTAAGTATAAAACTTTAACAATCATCAACAATAACTGATCAAAATTCAATTCCAAAACTTTTCCGCCAATACATGTGCAAGGAGTTTTAAAAATTATTATAAGTGTACATCTAAACCACGTTTTGAGATTGTGACAGTTCATATTTTGATTTATGGATGTAAGATATAGAGCATTCATAGTGTCTATTCTAAAATTATGATTTCCATTTTTTATAAGAAAAATTTCAAATTCAAAACTTATCATCATTGTTTGCAAATGCACTCTCATTCATCGACATTTCGATGATTCATTTTGAGCTAACGTTAATCTTCTCTACACATGCATGTAAGTATCTGCATTTATGCAATGTTCCACTGATCTATATAGCTAGAAGTGAGATAGAAGAGAAGTAAAAGAAATGAGCTTTTTGAAGCATCAGTGCAAGTAACAGCAGTTTTAGGTATTTTTCTCTTTTTGTCGTTCTGGAAAAACAAGTAATAGTAATCCATAAGTGGGTTATACTAACGAAACAATTCAGATATCCGCAAAGCAGTTACACATATTGTTTACAAATTATCGCATTTATTACGGAATGATGAAAATAGTTTTACTTTTCATTCAATTCATCAAACTCGAATCATCTGTAATTGGATCTTTTCACGCAAAATTATTGTAAATGCACTCACTCGATATATATTAATATTTCCCACTCAAAGTTGTGGATTAAAAAGAAAAGTTCTTAATATGTTTAACCTATTTTGCGTCAGTTTGTCTGGTGCTTTTACTTTAAATATTTCCGGTAATTTGAATAAGAATGTGGAATAGTTTGTTGAATATGGGGAAATTTTAAGTCATAGAGTAAAGTTATTGACTTGATGTTTGAATTGAATTAAGCACGAATGGTTTCATCTAAGTTGTACTAAGTTGCAAAAATCTATTTCAAATTTTTCATGCGAAATTGACAATGAACTTGTTTATTAATATTTAAAGATTGTCTATCAGAGTTGCAAAATTTGGATTGTCAGTACAAACTATTAATCTTCAGATTGGTTCAGATTTCATACTTAATATTTATCAAATGCATTATCTTCAATGTGTGGAAAATTAGGATTAATCCTGAAAATTCCCGAAAATTCTAAAATAATCCCTGAGCCAATAAGCATTAAAATGTGAAATCCCTTTTAAATCCCTGATGCATTGGATGAATAATTTTGGGATTTAAAAAGGATTTCACATTTTCAATTAAATTTAAACATTCAGGAATTCTTATTATCATTTGGCACTATATGGATATTGTGGCATTTTTTATTCAACGGAACTCTGTCGTTACAAACAATTCTCATAGCATATTAAATAAATAAACATCTATTGAAGCTAACAAGCGTTTAATAACTTTCAATTGTTCTGTTCTCTATCATCAGTAGCAGTTGGTAATATGGAAATTTAAAACACAATATACCATAAATACGCACAACACGATAAAGTACAATGACGCCAATTTCAATTGCAGAAATGCAAAATATGCGTTGTTTCTCGACATGGCACACAGATGCTATATGTGCGATCTCTGCTGAGAACGTCAAACGAAATGCACACACGCAAATTCTATATCTTCGAACTTCCATTTATGCTTCTTTAAAAATTCTCATTAAAAATGCATTTCCTTCGAGTCGTTCTGAGAGTAGATTTCAGATTAATTCCAAACACACACTGCATACCTTTTGTCCCTCATAACATTCTCAGGCACACAGCAGTAGCAGCATTCTATCGAGATTCTAGAAAAGAAAGAACAACAAACAGAAATAGAATACATCTCGCGAATGTGTGGATGCGAAAAAAAATGAAAGTTTACGGCTAAAAAGTGAAAATAAAAGAAATAGAAATAAAATTGCTACATTGCGTGTCAACAATTGAAGTTAGATAGAATTAAGTTAGATACGACTCGATTCAATTGTCGAGTTGACAGAAAATTTTAATAATAGTTCATTGCTACTTTTTTATATCGTTTTTTTTTTCATTTTAAATATTAACAATGTTGCTTGAATATTCGTTATAAAGTGCATATGCTAGGTTTTGTTTTGTCTCTTTAATGGACATCATTTGTGAACAACCTCAGACAATCTATAAAAGTTCTTTTCTTGAGTTCTTAAAAAAATATTATTTTTCTCACAAATTTTTTAAAAAGAGATTCAATTTTTGTACTCTTTTTTTTATTTCATCTCAATTTTAATTATTCTTATTTTTTAGCTCAGTTACTATTTAATCAGTGATTGAGAAACAGTTCCTGTATTAAAACTCTCATATTTTATGACGTCATGAAATTTTTTTCAAAACTTTTTTACGTCTTTGTAGTTATTTCAATAATTGATATAAAAATTGGATCTTCAAGAAGTATACGTATGAGGAGGTCCCTTGGTGAATGGTGGAATACAGTCAAAACTATATTATCCTCAAACAGTAACCAAGTAAAGACAGAAATAATATGTATGGATTATTCTGAAGACGACGAATGTTTGGGTGACTTAGTTGATGACGATCCATATGAAGGAAAGACGGTTTTTATAGCTCCAAATGGATGTCCGACGAATGCAAAAAAAGATCGAGCAGGAAGATGTCGAAAAATCTTAAAATCAAGAAATTAAAAGTCAATTTGAAAAAATAAATTGATAAGATTCGCGTTATAAATACATATTAACATAAGCACAATCTAAATAAATAGTAATTTACTGAACTTTTAGGACAATAATTTTTTTATTTCAAATAACTCTTGAATCAATTCTATAAATAGTTCCAAAAAGTTCTCTAAAATTAAAGTTTTCTGTAGATAAAAGGAAATTCAAATTTTGAATTGTCTTCGATTAAACAAATCAAATTAACCTTTTGAGTGAAGAGATAATCCTTAATATCGGAAGTTACATCATTAAGATATTCAACAATCTATACAACGTTGCACTAATCTGGTATCACATTTAGTCAAATATTGTAAATTTGTCTAAACTAAGTTTTAATAGGTTTTTCTCAACTTGCCATAGTCAGTTTCATATCTTTTAATTACCTATTAATAAATCAGTTTTAATAGGTTTCTATATCTTGTAACAACATTTCATCTAAATTATCATTTTGACTTTCAAAATTGAAAATCTCATTAGAATCTTGATTACTTTCTTTGTCCAAACTTTCCTTAAAGGCTTTGACTTTTTCAGGAGATTTACAAGTTAAATTTTGCATGTTTTCTGTCCTTAAATTCGGAGTTGAAATTATTTCATTTTCTTGATTGTCTATAACATTTTTAACAATGGTTGAATGAAGTCGTTTCACGACCACAATACGATGTTGCACAATTTTTACTGGCTTTGTCCTTTTCTCTACATATCTTGCAAGCTGTTCTCCCAAAAATAAAGAGAATGAAATAAAACAAAATCCAATCCAAATGTTAAAACCAAACATAAGATCAGGTATGGTCAGAATTTTCGGTCCTCCTTTACTTCTCTTAAATATCCGATCCTTTGTGTAGAAATTTTCTATCAAATATTTCATAACTCCAGTTGATATTAAACTGTCAATTAATTTTTTAAACATTCGATAGTAAAACGAAGGACCCAGAAAGACAAAAGCTTCATGTGTAGTGTACAGTATGGACTGTTTAAGTTGAATCCAGTCATGATTTGATTTTGTAAAATTTGCAACAAAGTTTAGAAGAAAATCATCTACACATAAAGCGGTTTTGCTTGATGCATTTTGTGATTGAGTCAGGAATATTTCGTAGAACTTTTTTGTCGAAATAGGCAGCACATTTGGCCTGTATTGAGCAAACGACATGATTAATTTAATTTCCAAATAAATAATTTTCAACCCCCCCCCCCCCCCTCCTTTTGTGTTTGAGCTGTTACAGAAACCTAATCTCACTTTTCTTTCTTAAAAAGCGAATATAATAAGTGATGAACAGCTCCTAATTAAAATAAAGCTTATTCAATTTAAAGTATCAAAAATAAATATCAATGTTTTTTAACATCCTATTTTAATTCAATTGACCCAAATTCAAAACTCTTTGAGTTTGCGTTGTGAGGAGCTGAAAAAATTTCTACTTTTGTGTCGGCTAATATTAGCATCAATTTAAAAGGGGGTCTTTTTTGGCAATTCGTTTTACACCAGAATGCCGCGAGGAAAGTTTAAAAATCAATGGTCTATATAATAAATTACTAACCACTTTTCCAGACGATTAATTTCTCTAGAATAGTACAAATGGACATCTAATGCATACACTTGATATTTCCTTTCAACGACATCTTGTATTGTTTTTGGTGGTAGAAATCTCGGTTCAGTTGTCATGAATTCGAAGAATTTACTTTGAAAACAAGTCCGAAAAATCAAACAAAAAAATATAAAAATTGTTAAAATGAACCTTGAGAAGTTTCTGTCTGGCAGGCGTGTTTGAGCAATCCCAAAAAATATGCTGATTACATTCCAAAATGGATTTTCAATTTTGTGTCCATAAACGATATTTTGTGTTGGTTTTGATAAGCAGTTGACAACAAATATTGTGAGAAATGTTACTGAAAATGTTATGCCGACGAAAATCCATGTTTGTTGATCAAATGGAAGGATAAACTTCTGATACTGCGTGTATTTTTCTCCAGGAGTTACAAGCATATAAATTTTCAAGTCAGTAACTGTATGCGATATGTCTTTGTGATATTTCAAACTATTTAAAGGTTCAATTTGGAAATAAACGGACGGTGTTTTAGCAGTTTCATTCTCAATTGATACTAAATCGAAATAACTGTCTCCGAATTCTTCCATATTGTAATCATGCATAATTATTGGCTGATATGCATCTGTAAAATTATGAAGATTTGCTGCAATATTAAATACAACAGGAATGATGCCATGAGTCTCTACTTTATGAAGTTTTTCATTTATTAAGGAAAATCCAGATACGTGATGAAGAACAGCCTGCTCGACTATCGGTAATCCTAATACCAATTCACATCCAAAATATTCAATAAACTTTTCATAACTTTTAAGCTCTGAATGCCAAGTCATTAGATCTTTTTTGAAAGTATTCAGCTTTGTTAAGAAGGGCGTATTGCATCCAGAAGGAGTAAACCATTCAACAGTCGACAAAGTTACAGTGTCAATTTCATTTGTGATGAAAAATGAATGATGAAACACACCTGCAGAAAATGCATTAATCCTCTCATAAAATTGATAAATCCACGATGATTTTAAAGCAGCAAATGTCAAATTGGGTATTAATATTAAGAATGTCATTGGCTGGTTATGATATCTCACAATTTTGTAGTGTTCTTCAACATACTTAAAGTCCGAGATTTCTTCGAGGAAAAGAATAAATGACTGACGAAAAACAGTAAACCGTTCCAGATATGCTTCATGAAATCGAACACGATAAGCAAATATCCCATTGTAAATTTTGAAAAAGGAATCCAAAATATCCATTGAAAAAGCTAATTTTAACTTAAAAATGAAAATGGAAAACTCAAAGTTTTCATTAATAAAGAACTTTTCCACGACATCGTACAAAACATTTGAAATCATTGAAATATTCTCATTGACTTCATAGTGATGCAGAGAATTGTCACAATTAAAAACTTTGAAGCTGGGAACAAAGAATAATAAGAATATTATGTGCTTCATATTTTATTTTAATTGGTTTTGTTAAATTGATCACGTCCTACAAATTAAGCTATCATCAAGAACATTGATTCATTTCGTTTATTTTATGCAAAGTTTTTCAATTCGTGGCTGCTCAAAAAGCAATTAAAAAGTTAACCAAAATTATCTCTTTTTTTAAATCTGAAATAGAGGATAGTAAAAACTTTTATTTTCTTCAAAAACAAACTTCTTAAAATTTGAAATAAATCTGAAAATTTGATTTTTAAAATACACGATTGTATGAAAAGCTTAACTGTTCTTATTAAAATTAAACCCAAGTATGAACACTTTGTGGACAATAAAGTATCAATAATTTTAATGTTGACACTAAAATTAGAAAAACATCAGAATATCGTTATCTTTACATTTAATGTTTCATACAACATGAAAAAGGCCTCATATGTTTATCAAAAGTACTGTTTAAGCCAGGAAATTTCAAACTTTATAATGATAAATGCGACATTTTTTAATAATAAGAAATAAGTCTAATTTTCAACAATTAATTTTTTTTGTACCATGATCGAAATATAAAATTTAATAAATGATAATGAATAATATTAATTCCGTAGCATATAAGTTTGAGTAACACTGAACTGATTGTAGTTTAGTATTTACACGCTTGACCAAAAATGTCAGATATTTTTGATAAGCCACACCTTATCAAAAATTTATAAGATTTAATTGTGTTTCTAACAACGGCTTTTTATTAAACTAAAATGATTTATCTTAACTCATGGAATGGCTTTGTAAGCAACGATGCAAATGTGCTAGAAATTAGAAACTGGCAGAAGCTGTGTAAGGATAGAGCCAGTTTTAGACGAACTCTGAATGCGGCAATGGGCCCACGTGCGCCTTAGCCAAGGAAGGAAAATGATTTATCAAAGACCTCACATATTACGGGTCCTTATATAAGGGTCCTTAAAAAAGCTACGTATTAAGTGTAGTAAGGAAGATTTTCGAAGCAACAAATAAGATAATTGATTTAATCCATTTTAAATAATACAATAAACTCAAAGCAACAAATCCTCATAAATCTATGAATGAGCATGAAAAATCTAATAAATAATTGGACATTGATACAATCAGCTTACACCGTTAAGCAATCAATTAGTTTCTTTTTCCGTTTTCTCGCAAAAAAAGCACGTCAAAATTGAGCGAGTGAGAATAGAATGTAAGAGATTTTGCGATGATCGTATCATACTTTAATTTGAACAAATTAATCTTGAGAAGATCAAATCACCTTCATTCAATTATCCATCTACATCAAGTGAAGCTAAAGTAGTGCTTACATGAAATTTATCGCAATGATGATGAAAAAAAAAATATTCCGTTAAAAAAAATGAAAAGTGAGTTGGGGAGAAGTATGTATTTAGCTTCCATGTAGAATTAACAGTTTGATTGAATTTTTCCAAATTGATTCTAATGAAATGAATGAGCATCGATCAGTATTTATGTGTCATATAAGCACATTCAGCGATTGAATTATTTTCTCTTTTTTCCGTGCTAATGGATGTGTACTATGAGATGATGTGCTTCCGCGCTGTCGGAACTTATCGGAAAGAACTAATTATTTGTTACGGTAATGATGATTAGGCCGATGAAGCACACATCTAAAGGGCCGTGTTCTTGTTACAATACTCAAAAATCTGCTTTTTAATAGCTTCTTATAAAAATAAATATTGTGCCAATTTCGATGACAATTATGAAGTGCTAAAAGTAGAATTTAATAAATTGCAATCAAATTTTTTGATTCAGTAAGATTTGAGAAAATTGCATAAAACCAAACTGACATGATTTTATTAACACAAGAAAACCTCAAAAAACACTTTATAAACATACAAAAAACCTCAACGAATCCATCAACATTCACAATAAAAACAAAAATTCAACTATTTCTTACCCTGTTTTTTCGTTATAAGCTACTACTCGTTACTAAGCTACTAGCTTAGTAAAGTTTTTTTGAACTTGAAATTTTTCTGTAATCTTTACTAAGCTACTACCAAAAATAAAGTATAATTAATCTTTTTCAACTTTCTAAGTATCAGTTTCAATGCCTTATGACATTGTCAATGAAATAAAATCGAGAAGATAGCAAAATTTCTTTAATTAAGTTAAAAAATTCAAAATTTTCACTGAAGTTTAATTTCTTTACTAAGCTACTACTCGTTACTAAGCTACTAGTGAGCCAAAAAAATCACTTTTTTATTCTTCTAAGCTACTAGCTTATAACGAAAAAACAGGGTAATCTAATTGACCATATGCTTGCCCAATAAAATTTCCCTTTCATACATTCTTCACACAAAAATTTTCCATGCTTTCGAAAGGGCATCAAAAACAATCAAAACGAGATTAAACAAACAAATTTTAAATCGAAAAGCAATTGAAAAGCATCATGTTGTAGATATTACAATCTTTCATCTGAATTAGTGAATTAGTGCCGTGTAATATTATAACATTGTGCACAGTAGGTTGAAGAAATTTAATTTTTTGTCTGCCTTATACATTTTTTTTGCTGCTATCATTGTTGTTTATTTTTCTATTTCTTCGTCTTTTTCTGTTTAAAAACATATTTTTTTCAGTTGTTCACTTTGAAGAAAGTTTTTTTTTTTTTCTTAAAGTCATTAGATGTAATCTTTCGCAAACTTGACATTTTAATGGGTCACTATAATTCTCAGCATTTCGATGTTCGTATGTCTTTGTATACACAATATTTCATTCAATTTCTAAACTAAATCTCTCATTTAGGTAGCTTTAAGAGAGAAAGATCAAAAAGAGATTTAAAAATGGCAATGCCATCGAAAATCTCAGGCGTCAGATTTGATCTGAGGCTTTAATTTTTAGAAGCAACGTTTGATTAGGAACTAATACAATAATCCCAAAAAAAGAACTCTAAAACCTAAAATTCTGTTCCGAAACCAATGCGCTTTAAATACCTACAACAAGCTACTCATCCACAACAGTCCACATTACCTGCTTCATTCTATTGCAAAAGATCCAAAATAAATGAGTGAGAAATAATCTTCAAGAGATGACGATGATGCAGTGGAAAACGAGGTCAGCAGTGATGTTCATTTTTCCACAAAAACAATTACTTGCTTTCTTTGGCTACTTGACTATGATGATGAACTGGTGCCAGTTGATGTTGCTTGTGCATAAATAAACAGAAATATGTATTCACAGCAGCAGCAGTAACAATCGTCAGTGCTTTCGCTTAAGGAAAAAAAATTAATTCTTCTGACTATTTCTACGTTTTGTTACATGCCGGCTTAGAGTGACATGACGTGCACTTGAGAAATTTTTGCAAATTTCTACCTTAATTCTCTGTTTTCATTGATTTTTTTTTACTTTTTCATGTTCATTAGGTCATTAATTTAATTGCATTTAAATAAAGGGGTTTGTTCATAAATGAGGTTTATAACTAGTTTTTTTAGATGCCCCTCCAGCATTGCTTAGAATTGTCATCTAAAACTTGTGTATTGGGGAGAAACCCAATGCGGATATATTTACACAGTATGATTAAAAGTCTAAGCTTCGGTAAGCATATGTAAGAAGGCTTAAATTTTTAAGCACAGACCTTGCATTCTCGAATTTTTCCCTCATCCAAAGTTGTATTTTATAAAAATAAATCTAGAACTCTCTACGATGTCTAGAACAAAAGTTTTTCAATCAGCCAGCCAACCGAACAAGGTGCATTATTAAGCTACCTGTTTATTTAGTGAGTTTCAAAAATGCGGTAAAAAATAAAACCTAAAATTAGACATCATTTGCAAACAACCCTAAAACTCATGAACATTTATTTATTTGGAATAAAAATGGAAATTCAAGTGGAATAAAAGTGAATTCTACTTTTGGTCTATAATTATGCAAAAGACCAGTCATGAAGAAGTTTAAAGAGCTTCTTCAATTATAAATGGAATAAATTTTCTTGACTTTGAAATATGAACTAGATTCGAATGCAAATCTTTGGTTTGTTAAGTTTTCAGCCTGTCTGTTTTGGAATTTTTTGTAAGTTTATTGAAAAAGTCTTAAATTTATTGGGTTTATGTAGATGAAGAGGAAGCGAAATTAGGAAACAGAATGAAAAAATTAAAAAAAAACCGTCATCCACATCGTTGGTCTGGAGACTTAATTAAAACTAATTGGAACAATACGATAGATTATGAAAAATCGATTGAGCTGCTTTTCTTATATCATGCAAAAGTTATCAATTTATTATATTTTTAATACAAATGGAAAGCCATATATTTGCAACATAGTCATTAATATCTGCAACATTCACAATCCAACAGCACACATTTCTTATTCAATTCTAATCCAATTAATTTATATTCACTGTAAAAAAAAACAAAATACTTTCCACCTTTCCTCAATAAATTCATTAAAACCAATAAATATATATTGCCATGACACATCATCTATATCTTATCAGTCTGATCACATATAGTGCACATACACAATATCCATTGGTGACAAAACCTTTAAAATTGTCTCGTATGTCAAGATTTTTTTTAAGCTGTACAAAAACAACACAAAAAAAATATACTCGCGTGCTCGTGACATTATCAAGTGTATGTTAGCATAAATTTTAATGAAAGACTCTTAACAAGGCATATAATTTCCAACAATTTTAATTGACATTCAATATGCATATGCACAACATAAAGGTACGTATAAGAAGGAAGAAAGTGCAGAGCAATAGAAAAAAATGGTTCATTAGATAATTTTAGTGGCAATATTTGCATATAAACTATTCGACATTCAACTCAACGATCTAATATTATATT